TTCAGTCAGTAAGGCTCTGTAAAAAGAGCTTTAAAACAAAAATATCTACCTGAGTTGTAAGCTGATACAATCATTAAGAGAAGGTCTAAGACCATGCAGGTACACAAATCTTTTTTAGAACCATTATTGGTTAAACCATGATGGAAAAAGATGCCAAACTGGCTTGTTAACCCGTAAGATCACTTAAAAAGACATCAAGGTACATTTTCCACCATAACATTTACCAAACCCAACACAGCATATAACCATTAGTGGTTTTCTGTACCCACTCTGCCAACTTTTGTCACTCAACAATGACTAGGGGAGAAAAACAAGAGTTTTTAATACAGTAATCTGATAATGTGCTTCTCTAAACTTTACATGTAAAATAATGGGCCTGTTGAATGCCACTATTAAAGTCAAATAAAAACCCAACACAAGGGCTGCCTCTGGTAAGAACATTCAGTCTGAACTGCCCTCCAGGAACTTGGTTGCACTGTCATGGTGGAAAACATCCTGTTGCATCAAGAAAACTATATATACAATCACCAAGTCAAAAAATCAATCTCATTCCCTTCAAGCATTTGGTATAGCATTGCGTTTAAAGAAATTATACCCTTAGAGTCTTTTCTGACAGGATACATTTGTAGGCATGCAAAAATAGATAAAATATTTTTCTCTTGTAGAGAGAAGACCTAAAGGTCTTAAGGACATAAGAACTCTGCAAATAAAGACACAAAGCATGTCATGTCAACCAGTACGTGTCATAATACTGAAAAAAAATCAGTTTCCCTTTGCATAATTTCTAGTGAAGACGAGTCACACTTACAGGAGGATGATTAGAATTAGATTTGCCTGAGTGTACGAATATTTGGTTTTATTTACAGTTCTTTAGCAAGGGCAGCCTAATATTTCCACAAGGAGGCAAAAACAACAAAAAAACAGCCACTTGTACACATCTAATATTTCCACTTAAACAAAAATGCATCTCCTACAGGCAGGATGTACCCTTCCCCTGCACGCAGACTAACCCTTTCTTCTGAGACCTATCTGATACTAAATTGAGGTAGATGCTTTACTTCTCCATGGTGAAGTAGAACTTTAAGAAACAAAAACAGTTGGGTCTCTATTTGTGCATTCTGTACCACAGCAAACTGGGTTCCACTGATCTCCAAAGGACTCAAGGACCTGAGGTACAATATTTGTCTAACGCAAGTACCAGTGTTTAATTTTTTAGACAGCTCCAAACTGTTTGTCTAAACATCTCTATTTTTATTTATTTTCTTAAATACCCTATTACCTTTTGGCACCATTTGGATTCACTCCTTTAACAAATAAAAATAAAAACACTTTGGCACATGTTTTTAAAAACCAGAACTGAACATAGAAATTTTATGATCTTCAAAAGAAATAAAACGTATGGCTGGATCAAGCCTAAAGACTGCTCTGGAAATAAATTAATTTGGCTTAACTATAACTAAACAGACTGAGTCGATCGCCAGCAATTCCCAATGGAACGCCACAACGAAGTGCCTTCTTCTGTTTCCAACTTGATTATTTTTGGCCCTCATATACACTAAATTTTAGGTTTTTCCCTCTTTATGGTATGCACTTGTGGGCTTCCCCATATAAGTTATACTTAAAGGGTACAAATGAAAGGAGTGACTTACCGGAGGGTACTGCATCATCTAACATCATGGCTGCCTCATAAGCCCTCAACCAGGACATCACTGAAACTCTCACTAAAACAGTTCTGAAATAACAGGACTGCTTCATATGGCTGAATTAGGAGATTATGAGCGTTAACGGATAACATTTCACAAAGCAAAAATTTACTGACAGCCAACATTGGTTTAACCTGGCACAGTTAAATTCCTTTGGGAGCATTCAGAGCACAAGTCTGTAGATCCAAATCTGTTATTCTTCTCCAAAGCTAGAGCCCGGGGGTGGGAAAGGGTGAAAAGATAAACCAACCTTCTCCTTCCCCTAATCCACTTCTACCAATTCAGGAGATTATACTGAACAGTTTAAGAAAATGCAGGGGTTTGTAACCCAGCGTCAAACCTTTGCTTACCTTTCCTACACTCCTCTCCTGTATGTCTATTCGCCTATTTTCTACATGTATCAGGACACTGGAGGCATTATCCAACAATTGTCCATGAACATACATAGAACAAACGCTGAGCCAGATTTGAAATCCTACCAATTATATACCAAATAAACAAGCCCCTATGGGACATATGATGTTGGCATTAAACTTTTCCCTATAATATTACACTACTTACTCTCATCGTATTATAAGCACTTCATTTTATAAGCTACACTAATATTTTTCAATGAGAACAAGTGTGCTTAGCACTATCTATTACAGTAACAGTATAGGAAATCGTTTGGGTAGCTATACAGCCGTTTTTTAAAAACAAAAGCCTCCCAACATGTGATGTGAAACACTTCAAAGTCAAATAGTCTTGTTTGTGCTGTAAGCAGATCCAGTGAATTAAGTAAACAGCAACTGTAAAGAAAGACATTGTGCCTCCCCCAAATAAAGACAGGCTTGTGGCCTTCTCCAGTCTTGTGCAGCAACATATGACATAGTGACGGTCAATGGAAATTCCACCAGCCTTCACATCTCTATGCAATATAGGGATGGAGACAGACAAGAAGAATTTTGTTGCAATTCAACTCAAAGCATGTCAGGAGCCCCAAAACACTTTATATTTAAAAAAATAAAATAATAAAAAAAAAAGCCTGGGGGCTGGGGTGGCCACACAGGGAGAACAGAAAATACAAAAGGTCACCATCAGTAAGCATTAAGCATAATAGCTTTTCTGGCATAATCCAGCAGTGACAACCACAAAGGTCAAGGTAAAAAGGCCAAGCATTTTTAGTAAAACAGAGGTGAAATGGAAGTATTCTGCAAATTGTCAAATTAAAGCTTTCAACCGGTTATCTTTGGTATCTAGGTCTTTGAGTCTAATTTGTTTTCACAGCCAAGTTACAAATAATTCTCTCAGCAAAAAACACAGAACAAACAAACAAAAACAAAAACAGTATCAGCTTCCACAGGCTACCACAAAAGGAAGGAAAGTGGGTTGTGAAAGCTAAAAGGGGTAATTTGCTTTCCCTTACACACAAATTCTGAAGAGTCATATACAGGTTTAATGACAAATCTCTCTAAAAGATTATCTTGGATTTTTTTTTAACACTATCCCTAAAATTAAACCCAGTTTATGCCCATTGCTGAGCATTTGCTTCATGAGGTGTTAGCTGAAAATAGCACAGTTACGTTATCCTGTATAATTTAGGGTTGTTGGTTTTTTTTTTCGGTTTTAAAAGGGTTCTTGTGATCTCACTGACTCCCTCTTCATTGTCCACCTCTTAAAATCCTCACCTTCCTACGTGGCTGCTGTCATAAGTCTGGACAAATTATTAGGATTTCTAAAAACAGGAAATTAATTTCTTGGAGATGTTATGGTAATACAGAAAGCAGTGGAAGCAAGTGAAAGTGCACCTTGAAATTTCTTATTAATGTGGAAAGTCCTTCAATATTTCAGGTTGCTTGTGTATGTGGTGGCTGGTAGAAGAGATGAACCCTTTCTTCTTCAGGCTTTTAGTTAATAACCTTGCTTCTCTTTCAGGGCTCTTCTCTTGCTGGAATTGATAACACTAATCTTACACCACTACAGAGGAAAAAAAACCTAATTGATGCATGAACTCTTCAATTCTGCACAATGCAAAATCTCTCCATCCCCCATATTAGCCTTTATGGTTTGCCAATAACAGTCCCATCCAGAAGGCAAGACAATTTCTCAAGAGTCCATGTCAACATCAATATCTAACATATTAAGATGCAAGCTATTGAAATGTGGACTGTAATCCACTAGGGAATAAAATTCACGTGGCTTGGTAACCAAAGCCCCTCCTCAAGATCTCAGCTTCTCAGAAAAACAAGAAATTCCTATCCCCATTGGAGCTAAATTTTGCAGTTTATGGAGTTTAAAGAATCTGACTAATCTAGTTTTTAGACACTGTCCCCATTTTAAATGCAGTTTTTCGGTGATGCCAAGGAATGATGATGCAGAGCTTTATATGGCTCCATTTTTCCCTATGTTGGTTACCTTTCACCAGGTGCCATTAAGAATGCCTGTACATTAAAAAATGTTCTTCGATCCTTTCAATCCAACTTTTTTTTTTTTTTTTTTTTTATATAAAGGGGAGGGATGAGGGAAAAAGAAAACAAAAAGTTCAGCTGATGTCACTGACTGGTTTTGTGATCTGATTTTTTAAAAAATGTGGACTTCTCTGAAATGCACCCTGAATTTCCAAAGTTGTGCTTTATGTTTATTTTTGGGAAAATTTACTTTGTCCTGACAAACCTATTAATCTTTACTCCTCTAACTAAAGCCTTTATGGGAACAACAAAACGAAACAAAAAAAACCCCACAGACATTTCACATGAAACAAATTTTAACTCCAAGGTTCAATCTTCCGTGTTTTGATGCAACAGGCATCGATACACATAACAGTGACATACATATGATGGAAGGAAGAATGGAACCTTGTTTTTAAAATGTGGCTAATAATCAGACAAAGGGCTATAAAGAAATTATAGTACAGAGAACACATTACAGAAAGTCCTGCTTTTTTCATTAAACTTTTTATGACAACTACATGAAGTCACCAAAAATGATTTTTTTCCCCAAGAAATTTGTGCATTTTCACAGGGGCTTCACTTTGTGCTGTAGGATTACTGCACTTTTCAAAAACACATATGCAAAAAAGCAAACTTGCTTTTCCTGACTAGCGAACCTCACCCACTTCCACAAAAAGATCAAAGTCTTCTGGGAACAAGACACTATGTTGAACAATAAATCAAACACACTGAGGTATAAAATGGAGAACAGGAAAAAGTTCTCTGCTGCAGCAGCATTTAAAAAAAAACAAAAACGAAACAAAAAACCCCCCACAACCCCCCCCCACAAAACCACAGTATGATCAAGAACACAAATCCTCTACAAATATCTAATGCTACTGATTTCCCCCCCCCCCATTAAAAAAAATTAGAGTGCGCCTTTTTGGCTTAGTCTACAGAATTCATCATGCACCCACCTCATGTGTTCAGCAACACATGTTGGTGCATGATGCCCCATGTGGGGAAGAGGTAAAACTTACTGCGGGGGGGTGGGGGTGGGGGAGAAGAGAGGAGAACAAAAGATAATGAGGTAGATAGAATTTATAACTTCACAGGATCACTCCCTGCAGAAAGGATAAGTACATTCATCTGTAAAAAATTAAAGATGAGGTAGGTTTGAATTAACGTTGTATTTTTTCGTTCTCTTAAAAAGAATTTCCCTGAGACAGTTTCTTCCTAATTCAGATAGCACAGATTAGAAGATAAGAATTCGATTGTTTCCGAAGTCAACCACAACAATCATGCCATCAGGGGTGACAGCTATACCTGAAGGTCGGTCCATCTGACCAAAGCCACTTCCCTGAGTGCCAAATTTGCATAAAAAACTACCATTTGACTCAAATATCTGCACTCGGTGGTTCCTGGAATCAGCCACAATGATGCGCCCCTCTTGATCCACAGCCACGCCTTGTGGGCGCAGGAACTGGCCGTTGCTGGTGCCTTCTGACCCAAGGAAGCGTGCCGACTGGCAATCTGGATGGATGACCAGGAGGCGATGGTTGTTGAAATCGGTCACTACCAGATGGCCTTCATGATTGAAAGTCACACCCCTTGGAGAATCAAAGTGCTTCCAGAGTGCCCCTTCGAAGCCATATTTATTCAGAAACACACCATCAGGTCCAAACAGTTGAATCCTATGGTTCCTCGTGTCAGAGACCAGGATTTTGCCCTCGGTGTTGACTGCCACGTCCCACGGGTAATTGAATTGCCCATTCTTGGTTCCCTTTTCCCCGAATTTCAGAATGAACTGCCCATCAAATGTAAAGATCTGGATGCGATGATTATCCTTGTCAGCCACAACAATCCTACGCGAGCTATCACAGGCAACACCAGCAGGGCGATCGAACTGACCAGGCCTGGAACCCAAGGTGCCAAATTTGTGGTGAAACGTGCCACAGGGCTTAAACACCTGAATGCGGTTATTACTGCGATCAGCAACCATGATGTACCCTTCTTTGTCTACACAAACTCCCCAGGGGCGACACAGCTTGCCATCGTTGTCTCCCTCGCTGCCAAATGAAAGCCCTGGTAGTCCAATGCCAATGTAACTGCGCCCAGATTTTACCATGACTTTGAACGGACTGTTCTCTATGTGCTGGTTGCACATCATGACAGAGACTAGATGCTCTCCCTCAAGCTGTGGTCTGTAACTGACCAGGTAGGTTCCATTCTGCTGATCATTGACATCTGCACCGAACAAGTTTCCATCAGGGCCCATCACCACTGCAGAGATCATATCGCCCCCTGAAAGGCGTGGTTCACCATCATGGTCGTAGCCTATCACTGTGAAGGAGGCCGCTTTGCCCTGTAGTGCACGTTTGAGACCTTCCCCAGTGGCTTTGGTCAGAGGAGCAAAAGCCCCACTGCTGACAAACCCCATTGATTTAATGGCCATATACAGAGCCTGGTCAGGAGGAGTGAACATGACTCTGTCATCCTCCTGTGGCTGTAGAAGGCCTCTCACATTCTTCAGCTCCTGCACTTGAGCCAACATGCGATCCCGAGCCAGGAGAATATCCATGCTACGACCCTCCTCTAGGACCTGCTGAACTGCACTAATAGTGTTGTCCAGTTTATTTAGATTCTGACGCAACTTTTCAACTTGCAGGTAAAGGGACTTGGCTTTGACTTGACGAATCTTTTCCACCTTAAAAACAAGCAAAACAAACCCATTACATTTATATTAAAAGACAGCTAATAGTTCAGAAATATTTTTCTAGTGTTGCTTTCCTACCAGTAGTGCAAGTAGGGTAGCCCTCTCCAGTACGCAGTATCGGCAAGAGATTTTTAGGGGGTACCCGAAAGACTTGGGGCTGTGGTCTGCTCCTTAAAGGAGCAGAACATGGCTAGGGAGGGCATTCATTCTTTATATGGTTTTAACAGCACAATGCATATGCTAACAAACTTAAACAAAGGCTTTGTTTAAGTTTGTTAGCATATGCATTGTGCTGTTAAGTTGGTCGAGCCCTTAAGAAGGGAGCGGTGGGGGGAAGGAAGGTATTTAAACAGTGTTTTTGATTCTGTTTCTCCCCATTGGTCTGAATTATCCATGACATTCATACTCCATCACATCAAGTCCAAACCATTAGAAGAATGCCTCTGCTTGCACTGACCAGAGGATGTTTGGATTCTGATGTCAGCCCAGTTATGCAGCCTGACAGGTATCAGGTGTTGTCCCTAGTGTATATAGAATTCTTCTTTGCAGCCAAACTAGTCTGACAGACTCCTGAAACTCTTACTATTTGCATGTCCATAGACCACTTTTGTGGTAAGAGGTTCAGGAGTCTGTTCTATTCCTATAAAGGAAGTTGAATCTCCCACTAAAATGCAATGTTTGGGTACAATACCATGACACAGTTTAGTTTATCTGTCCAGAGACAGTTTTCATGCATGTTCTGCCAGGCTGATTTTGATTGCCCCTCCTGTGTCATGCTGAAGAAAATAATACATGGCACACACAATTCTATGCCTCTTTTCCATCAAACCCAGATCGTGAAGCATCTTTGCTTTCCTAGTGCCTGGGGGAGAGCAATACTTAGATAAAGGCAAGCTGGCAGAAGCTTAGTTTGGACATAAGGGAAGAACTGATAGTGTGTTAAGGGAAAGTGGGGTGATTGTCTTTCCTATCCTTCTTTCATTTAAGAAGTTTTCAATTTGGGGTGCTGCTGGATCCTCAATGACACCTGGAAGTACAGGTGGCACCAGGGGCCCAAAGCATCGTTTTACAACTGCATCTGTTAAACAGATGCAGTTGTAAAATTTTAGACAGGTAAGGGGGGTATTGGAGGGGACAGGAAGAGCGTGGGGGCCCCGGGCTGGGAGGAGTCACGTGGAGGGTCACGTGGGGAGGTCACGTACCCTTCCTTGTGTCCCCTCCCATGAGTGCAAGAAATGATTTTTACTTGCACCACTGTTTCCTACATAAAATTGGTTTCAGAGGAACAGCCGTGTTAGTCTGTATTCGCAAAAAGAAAAGGAGTACTTGTGGCACCTTAGAGACTAACCAATTTATTTGAGCATGAGCTTTCGTGAGCTACAGCTCACTTCATCAGATGTTTACCGTGGAAACTGCAGCAGACTTTATATACACACAGAAATCATGAAACAATACAAGCTATTACCAGCAGGACAGTGGGGTGGGAGGAGGTATTGTTTCATGATTTCTGTGTGTATATAAAGTCTGCTGCAGTTTCCACGGTAAACATCTGATGAAGTGAGCTGTAGCTCACGAAAGCTCATGCTCAAATAAATTGGTTAGTCTCTAAGGTGCCACAAGTACTCCTTTTCTCTTTTTACATAAAATTGGAGCGTAGTTGCCACAGGGATGTTAAGAGATCATGAATGGAAGGGGAAGTGGTCTGCAGGACAAACGCTCTGTGAAGATGTGGTCCATGTGAGGAAAATAATTAGGGGAAATGTGGATGCACATTGCAAACTGAACCTGCTGAGAATCACTGGCCCCTCCTCTGACAAATATAGCCTTAATTAAAAGCAACACACACTTCTGCCATGACATTTTGCTGCATTAGTTTGCTACTTAAAAGAAAGGTCATTATTAACAACTAAAAATAGTCTTCTTTCTTTGCAATTGTCTCATCTTCCAGTCACAGGGAGCACTAAGTGTCTGGCATAATAGGATTTATAGGCAGAGTGACAATTTTTTTTTCAGTTTATATACATGTTTTTCTTCAGTACTTTAGAAATCCATTCAAGATGTTAATGGCAAGAGACACATGCCTTGTAAAGTTAATGAAATGTGTAATCACTTCATTGTTGCAGAGTGTACTCCACCATCAGTAATGCAGCCAAGCAAACATTCAGAAATTTCAGCCAGTGTGTCCATACGGTCAATGTACATAGCGTTTGAAGACTGCAGTTATATGTTTAACAGATGAAGGAAGAAGTTCTGCAATGGTGAAGTGTGGACATGTGTTATTACACTTACAAGACATGCAGTTTCTACCAAGTGTGTTTTCAACATGGACATTTTAAAAAGATGCTCATCCCTTCCTTAGAACAGCTCCCTAAGGCCTAATATTCAAAAGTGACTAGAAAATCACTAATTGCTTCTGAAAAGTTAGGCCTAAAATGCTACTTACATTAATAATAATAAATAATTAAAGTCTTTAATTTTATCACCCTGGAGGCTTGAACTGAGAAGAAATGCAGGCAGGAGGCGCATATTTTAAAGCCTGGAGTTTAAAGCCTGGAGTAGTCCAGTACCTGCATTGGGGGCGGGAGAAACGACTCACACTGATCAAAACTCCCAAAAAAGAACCCCAATTCTACTCCTAAAACTATAAAAAGACTATAAAAACAATAAACCACTCTAAAACTAGCTATGTACAATTGTACATTGTTAAGTGCGTCACACACAAGAGGACACTAATAGTTCCGGGCCAGACCATGCAGCGGCGAGAAAGAACTGGAAATGCGGTTGGTCTGCCCCACCCTTGGATGAAACCATGAGGCAAGACAAGGGATCAGCACGGACCAACAGACCCTACTAATTTCAAAATCTCCAGCTGCAGATGCACTGTGCACATGTGTTAATCCTCCATGGAATAGAATAGGGACCATCACTCGAAGAAGTAGTCAGAATTCGTCTGTTTAATAACTGAACAAGCCCTGTTCCCTGTGCTGCTGCAGGGCCATGCAGAAATCAGACAGAAACCAAATTTCACAATTTCTCTGCGAACCAGAAATCCTGTATTTTGGCCAGCTCTGTTTGCAGATCCAGCAAGAATCAGGGCTACTGCATTTCCTATCCATTCCTCTGTGACCGTACATTTTTGTTCTTAAAAGTACACATTTCGAATCCCATGGATATATATTTATTATGAGCCACATTCTACCGTTCTCATTCAGGTTGAAAATACCTTAATCCTCAAATTGATTTTAAAATGGGACTACCTGTATTGTAAATACCACTCAAAATACAACTCAACACAAGGGTATCATAATATGGCCCTATTCTAATTTAAAGACAGATCAGATTTCCATCTTAAAGGTTAATTGTTAGTAACTAGAACAGCTAACTATACCTATATAAAAAGCTTTTTACCTTCCACAGCAGCTCACACTCCCGTTCTTCCAGGGCCTTCTTATGTCGAGATGTCATAGCTTTGACTTCAGACTGCACCACCTTTGCTTTCATCTCAACCTGCTCCGCCACAGCTTGCGCCTGTTCAATACTCAGCTGGAGAATAAACAGGACACGCATATTGCTTAGTCAAACCAATTTAAGTTGCATTAGGTGATGGGTCTTACATTTAACCCAATGCCTCCAGCACTAGAACAGAAATAGGTCAACTGTGCTCTCATAATGCTATTGTAGGACAAAGTTCAAGGCAGCTGTTTTCATGTAGTTTTCCCGAGTGCATGTCAGTTTCACATATTAGATGCTGGAATTTATACAAAATTCACTACATAGGACCAAATTCTTCCCCAGCATAGCCTGTGAAACCCCACTGATACCACTGCAGTTGCACAGGATTCAAGTTAATGTACAATTTGGTCCAGCATGCACATGTTGATTAAGTCCAATATAAAACCTACATCCTTTAGACATGTGTGTTGAGAATCCAAAATGACCTTCTGATCCCCAAGTATTTTAGACTAACAATGCATTTGCTACAGGATACAAATCTAGTCTTCTAGTAAGACTTCTGTTTTCCACTAATGCAGAGGTCTCCAAAGTTGGAGCATGCCCCCACAGAAGGGCAATAAGGAACATCTGGGGGGGAGTGAATGCAGTGGGCCAGGCCCAGTCTCCACAAGCGTGGGGAGGGAATGCTACCCAGCCCCTCCCCACCCCCAGCTGTCCCTGGCTCCCGGCCCCACCCCCAGCCTCAGCTCCATTCCTGGCCCAGAGCAGAGGCTGGGAGCGGAGCCGCACTTTGCCGCAGGCCAGCCACTGGCCCCCACCGCAGCCCAGCTGTGGCTTTGCTCCCAACCCCAACCTCAGCCCCTGGCCCCAGACCCATCCATAGCTATGGCCCCAGCCTCAGCCCCCTTACACTTGTCTGTGTTTCTTCCCCCTGCCCCCCCACTCCCAAGCCACAACCCTGCTCCCAGTCCTGGGCTGGGTGGGGGCTTGGACAGGGATAAGGGGAGCTGTGACCCTCAGAAGTTGGGAACTACTGTACTAATGTATGCCATTTCTATGCAAGTCAATTGTATGTAGACAGCAATACTTTTTATATATGGCTTAGTAAAATAAATCAACTTGGAGAAAGGAGTGGCTGCACATGAAAATAAAATTAAGTCTATTGACACTTTAAAACTGGAGAGACATGAGCAAGTGTTTGATAGAGACTGAAACTTCAAGTCCTCTAGACACAAGTGTAGTCAACTTTCCTGTTTTATATTTAATAAAGTGAAACTATCAGCAATTTCAGAAGCATGGAAGTTGCAATACACTAGGGTTGTACGGCTAGGACCTCATGTTTTGACAGCTGAGGCTAATAATCCTCAGAAATGCAATCTTGAGAAACAGAATAGAGAAAAAGTGTTGTAAGTAGCTGTCTATCTAGTAGGGGCTTCAAACTAAGTAGAGTGTCTTGTGGTAATGGTCATTGGATGGGCTGGTAGGGAAGTTGTTAATAGAATCTTATGACATCTGGATCAAATCTGACTTGGGTTAGGAACTTTTAAGAACATCACTTTCGATAAAAGACTGTCATGCTAGAACTCTATAATCTGATTATAAATGTGGGTAAGGAACATCTACATTTAAGACAAGGGGAGCAATATTCCTGACTGGTAGAAGATCTCCTTGATAAGAGCAGAGAGGAAGTTACTTTTAAAAGGAAACTGCAAAAAAATGGGATATTAAAGTTCCAGGCACCTAAATTCGGCCTCTCAAAGCTGGATAACTTAGACCAGGGGTCGGCAACCTATGGCACACGTGCCAAAGACGGCACGCAAACTGATTTTTAATGGCATGCTGCTGCGTGCCAGGTCCCAGCTGCTGGCCCTGCTCAGCCCGCTGCCGAACCCAGGCCGGGACCCCGGCAGGCAGCAGTGTGCCATTAAAAATCCTGCCCGCCCCGCCCGCTCTTCTCCGCCCCCCACAGGGGCAGGGTGAAGAAGCTTGGTCCTTCCGGCTGCTGTTGCAGAGCAGGCAAGCTCCCCCCACCTCTTCCCCCAGCATGCTGGGTACCTGCCCCTCCTCCTCTCCCTCCCTGCTGCGGATCAGCTGATGGCCCTTGCGGGGGAGGGGGAAAAGCAGAGCCGCAATGTGCTCACTGCTCTGGGGAGGAGGGGGAGAAGAGGTGGGGACGGGGCGGGAATCAGGGCATATTTCTTCCGGCAGCTCGCAGAAGCTACTGGATCGCACGCCTTGGTCTCATAGGTGACTTTAATTTTCCTGATATCTGCTGGGAGAGCAATACAGCGGTGCATAGACAATCCAGGAAGTTTTTGGAAAGCGTAGGGGACAATTTCCTGGTGCAAGTGCTAGAGGAGCCAACTAGGGGGGGAGCTTTTCTTGACCTGCTGCTCACAAACCGGGAAGAATTAGTGGGGGAAGCAAAAGTGGATGGGAATCTGGGAGGCAGTGACCATGAGTTGGTTGAGTTCAGGATCCTGACACAGGGAAGAAAGGTAAGCAGCAGGATATGGACCCTGGACTTCAGGAAAGCAGACTTCGACTCCCTCAGGGAACGGATGGGTAGGATCCCCTGGGGGACTAACATGAAGGGGAAAGGAGTCCAGGAGAGCTGGCTGTATTTCAAGGAATCCCTGTTGAGATTACAGGGACAAACCATCCTGATGTGTCGAAAGAATAGTAAATATGGCAGGCGACCAGCTTGGCTTAACGGTGAAATCCTAGCGGATCTTAAACATAAAAAAGAAGCTTACAAGAAGTGGAAGGTTGGACATATGACCAGGGAAGAGTATAAAAATATTGCTCGGGCATGTAGGAATGAAATCAGGAGGGCCAAATCGCACCTGCAGCTGCAGCTAGCGAGAGATGTCAAGAGTAACAAGAAGGGTTTCTTCAGGTATGTTGGCAACAAGAAGAAAGCCAAGGAAAGTGTGGGCCCCTTAATGAATGAGGGAGGCAACCTAGTGACAGAGGATGTGGAAAAAGCTAATGTACTCAATGCTTTTTTTGCCTCTGTCTTCACGAACAAGGTCAGCTCCCAGACTGCTGCGCTGGGCATCACAACATGGGGAATAGATGGCCAGCCCTCTGTGGAGAAAGAGGTGATTAGGGACTATTTAGAAAAGCTGGACGTGCACAAGTCCATGGGGCCGGACGAGTTGCATCCGAGAGTGCTAAAGGAATTGGCGGCTGTGATTGCAGAGCCATTGGCCATTATCTTTGAAAACTCGTGGCGAACGGGGGAAGTCCCGGATGACTGGAAAAAGGCTAATGTAATGCCAATCTTTAAAAAAGGGAAGAAGGAGGATCCTGGGAACTACAGGCCAGTCAGCCTCACTTCAGTCCCCGGAAAAATCATGGAGCAGGTCCTCAAAGAATCAATCCTGAAGCACTTACATGAGAGGAAAGTGCTCAGGAACAGTCAGCATGGATTCACCAAGGGAAGGTCATGCCTGACTAATCTAATCGCCTTCTATGATGAGATTACTGGTTCTGTGGATGAAGGGAAAGCAGCGGATGTATTGCTTCTTGACTTTAGCAAAGCTTTTGACACAGTCTCCCACAGTATTCTTGTCAGCAAGTTAAAGAAGTATGGGCTGGATGAATGCACTATAAGGTGGGTAGAAAATTGGCTAAATTGTCGGGCTCAACGGGTAGTGATCAATGGCTCCATGCCTAGTTGGCAGCCGGTGTCAAGTGGAGTGCCCCAGGGGTCGGTCCTGGGGCCGGTTTTGTTCAATATCTTCATAAATGATCTGGAGGATGGTGTGGATTGCACTCTCAGCAAATTTGTGGATGATACTAAACTGGGAGGAGTGGTAGATATGCTGGAGGGCAGGGATAGGATACAGAGGGACCTAGACAAATTGGAGGATTGGGCCAAAAGAAATCTGATGAGGTTCAATAAGGATAAGTGCAGCGTCCTGCACTTAGGACAGAAGAACCCAATGCACAGCTACAGACTAGGGACCAAATGGCTAGGCAGCAGTTCTGCGGAAAAGGACCTAGGGGTGACAGTGGACGAGAAGCTGGATATGAGTCAGCAGTGTGCCCTTGTTGCCAAGAAGGCCAATGGCATTTTGGGATGTTTAAGTAGGGGCATAGCGAGCAGATCGAGGGACGTGATCGTCCCCCTCTATTTGACATTGGTGAGACCTCATCTGGAGTACTGTGTCCAGTTTTGGGCCCCACACTACAAGAAGGATGTGGATAAACTGGAGAGAGTCCAGCGAAGGGCAACAAAAATGATTGGGGTCTGGAACACATGACTTATGAGGAGAGGCTGAGGGAACTGGGATTGTTTAGTCTGCAGAAGAGAAGAATGAGGGGGGATTTGATAGATGCTTTCAACTACCTGAGAGGTGGTTCCAGAGAGGATGGTTCTAGACTATTCTCAGTGGTAGAAGGGGACAGGACAAGGAGTAATGGTCTCAAGTTGCAATGGGGGAGGTTTAGGTTGGATATTAGGAAAAACTTTTTCACTAGGAGGGTGGTGAAACACTGGAATACGTTACCTAGGGAGGTGGTAGAATCTCCTTCCTTAGAAGTTTTTAAGGTCCTGGCTGGGATGATTTAATTGGGGATTGGTCCTGCTTTCAGCAGGGGGTTGGACTAGATGACCTCCTGAGGTCCCTTCCGACCCTGATATTCTATGATTCTATTCTATGATATCCCTTCCAGCCCCCTGCCGTGAGCCGCTCTGGGTAGGGGGCTGGGAGCACCCCCATGACCCTAGCCCACACACCACAGCCCTCTGCCCTGACCCCTACACCCCCCACACACCCCAGCTTCCTGCCCTGACCCTTACAGCCCCCCCACACCCTCCCAGCCCTCTGCTCTGACCCCTGCACCCCCCCACTACCCCAGCCCTGACTCCAGCACCCCCCACACTCCATGCCCTGACTCCAGCACCCTCCTCACATACCCCCCAGCCCCCTGCCCTAACTCCTGCACCCCTCACATACCCAGCCCCCCCCCACCCCATGCCCTGACTCTTGCACCCCCCACCCATACCCAGCCCCCCCCCATGCCCTGACTCTTGCACCCCCCACATTCCCACCCCTACCCTGAGCACCAAACGGGAGCTC